AAAAAAACTGTGCCCGTCCAGGAGGACACACATAAAAGCCATGTCCCGGCTTGTGTTCTGGGCAAGTCTCCTTTGAGAGGCTAAACCTGAGACACAGTGGAGAGAACTGACTTCTGGGTGACACCAGAAGGAGCTATCTCCAAAAGCAGCACACTTATGGGACCAAAACATTTAAGTATAAAAAATTCGACCTTTTCTCCTAAGTTTCATTTAATAGGGTAAAAAATAAGTTAAAAACTTAAGGATTTTATTGTAAAATGCTTAGAATCTCGTTCGGGCTTTTGAGAGATTCCTTGTAAAATTTCGATAAACATTGGTCACTCTGCCAATATTCTTGAAACAGCTGCCACTCGTAGTCCTTCTTAAAATTATGAACACCCATTACCCTATTGGGATGATTGCCAGCAACTCCTGCAGACCCTCTTCACCTCCGAGGAACAAGACTGCATACGCATGGCCGCCCGCGAGGCAGTACTCGGACCTGACGGGACACCAACCACAGACATCGACCACCAAGACGTTGTTTTTCCCCTCTCACATCCTGATTGGGACCCCAATACTGAACAAGGTAAGGAGGCTCTCAACAGATGCCACCAGTTGCTTCTAGGAGCCCTTAAGGCAGCAGCCCAGAAGCCTTTCAACCTATCCAAGGTATCAGGTAAAAAAGTTGGCCACCAAGTCCCCTACTGATTATTTAAAAAAACAACAACAACAAATCTTCTAGAAGCCTACCATATCTATACTCCAGTAGATCCGGAGGCACCTGAAAATGCACGAGCCATAAATGTTGCGTTCGTGACACAGTCGGCCCCTGACATAAGACAAAAATTACAAAAGTTTGAAGGATTTGAGGGTGCCCCCCTAAGTCAGTTAACAGAGATAGCTCAAGAAGTTTTTGATCAACGTGAATCCAAAAAATAAACACCCTTAAGAGATATTTTTAAGATACTAATTCATAAGGGGCAGATTGTTTTGGGCTGACTAGGTGATGAACTTATCTGTGCAAGTAATCTGTCTTGCAGGTGGGTTCACTGCTTGACCAGCTTCAAAGATTAAGCTCCAGACAACTCACTGGACATTTTATAAGATACTAAAAACAATGTCCTATGATCAAAACAAGAAAAAGACCAGGGAAAAAAAGCAAAAAGACTAAAAATGACTACCCTTGTTGTGGCCTCAAAATAGATCCTAAGTCTGATTCTCTGGGCTCCAAGAAGATCTCAATGACAATAAGGCTCATCTGCTACAAAATTAGGCCATCATAAGAGGGACTACCTTAAGAGGCCCACAAGCTATGCCCTGACTGCCAAGACAGCCACTAAAGGTGAGACTGCACTCTGAGGCGAAGGCCCCAGAGCTCAGACTCAGCTTCCCAGGTGGTCTAATAGGACTAAAGGGTCCTGGGCCTGCCTCCTCCCTCTGGCCATACTTTC